GCTGCCCAGGGAAGTGGTGGAGTCCCCATCCCTGGAGGTATTTAAAAGACGTGTAGATGAGGCACTTAGGGACATGGTTTAGTGGGCATGGCGGGGGTGGGGCGAGCGGTGGACTCGATGATCTTAGAGGTCTTTTCCAACCTTAATGATTCTATGATTCTATGATTCTATGTTTATATGTAAATATGTATGTGCACAAGCATGTGTGTGTGTATGCATGTGTATGCATATTTGAGTATATGCTGATCTGTGTGAGTGTATGCAAATGATCTGCCCTCATTCAATAAGCTCTTAGGTCACCTTTAAGATGAACGGATGAAATGAGTCATCTCTACATAACTTCAGTACTTCTCCCTTCTTGACTGTCTTATCTTGAGCCTTTGCTGTGCCCCATCCAGATGGCTGCACTGTGGAAGCTGTCCCCTCTCACCCCTCGATTCTGCCTCTTCCAAGCATAGATGTTCTCAAATTGTTCATTCTTTTTTTTCTCCTGGACTCTTCAGGAGTCCAGAAGATCAGGAAATGAAGCACTTGTTTTAAGGTGGGCCAGACAGGATTTAGAATTTGTGGAGGAAGGGAAATTTAGTAACAGCTTTTAATAAAGATTTTCATTATCAGAAGATAAAGTCAATAAAAGTTCAAAACAATTTTAGTGGCCAATGGGACCCTGGTTGCCTATTACAGAAAATTTATTGGATTTAAAGAAAGTGGGGAGAGCCATTGCTTCCAGAGAAAGGGCTGGAGAATCACAGGTGCTGGCTTGACAGGGGGATACAGTTAGAGGTCACTGTAGGCAGAAAAATTCCAAACATCACCGCTGGAAAACAGAACTCTAAAAGGAGCACTTATAGCAATTCAACACCAATCATAACTATTTAACTAGTTCAATAATATGTTACCCAGCTAGTCTGCAATTTTCCTAAAGAACAGTTATGCAGAAATGGGCATCTGCTCAGATCACCCAATTCAAAACAAACCATTTGCATAATAAATATTTGCAGAGGAGCGAGTGGGTGGGGTTTAGGCGAGTGCACAGATGAACATAAAAATCAAATATGGCTAGAAAGAAACTAGGCTTAATTACTGGAGGAAAACAAAACAAAACAAAGCCCCCATATTTCTTCAACTACTTTAAAAAATCAGTGCAAATATCTCTAATATGCCCATTTGCCTCTGCCTTCCCAGGGTCATCATTTTCTTCCTGTTCCTCACTGACTAATAAAAAGGAACTTGCCGGCTTGTTCCAGTGCCCTGCACTACTGCATTTGCAAGCGAAGAGTTTGAGAATATACATTTGTACTTCTGTGGGTATGCAGGGAGGTGAGGGTAGATGGCAAAATGCCAGGGTCTACAGCACTGTTCCCAAATAAAGTCTGCTTCACAATGACACTTAGGTTAAAAAATAGCTACAGGTTTTTTAACATCAGAAGTTCACCCAGACATTGCTCTTGCACTGAGTCTGAGCATGCATTGTGGGAAATTCAGTGGCACTTTTTACCTCCCATGGTCTCCTTCCAGCTGTAATTTGTCCATCACTAATGTGACCAACAACTTATTACGTTATATCCTCCAAAGGAAATACCAGCTTCTACCCTGTTTCCATAGAGTTAGCGGTAGAGTGGCAATGGATGAAAAGAGTTAAAAGTGGTTTGACTAGACTTCACTTGTTGATTGTGGACAGCTCAGAAAAGCTTGTGAAAGGGAAAGAATTGCAAGGAGAATGTTAAAATGAGCAGAGGGAGGTCTAGAAAATGGGGGGGGGGGCATGAAA